ATTTACCTTTTGTATTGTGATTTTTCCCTTTCCTATAGATTCTTCTTTTCTATTTAGAGAAGATCTTTTCAATATTTGTTAGGGTGGGTTTAGGATTGCTGTATTTTTTTAGTTTTTGCTTGTCTGAAAAATTCTTTACCTCTTCTATTCTAAATGATAATCTTGCTGGGTAGAGTATTCTAGGTTGCAGGTTTGTCCTTTTCAGGACTTTGAATATATCTTGCCACTATCTTCTGGTCTGCAAGAGTTTCTGTAGAGAATTCAGCTGATAGCCTTATGGGGGTTCCCTTGTAACTGACTTTGTTTTTCTCTTGCTGCCTTTAGAATCCTCTCTTTAACTTTTGCCATTTTAATATGTCTTGGTGTAGATCTCTCGGCTCTTCTCATTGTGTGATTTCTGTTACACTGTCTTCCAGATCACTTATTTGTTCTTCTGCCTTATTTAGTCTCCTTATTCATTACCTTTAGTTCGGTTTTTATCTTGGCGATTGAGTTTTCTAGTTTTGTTTGGCTCCTCTTTATGTTTTCTAGTTCCTTGCTACAGTGATCTGCATTTCTATTTGACAGTCTTTCTTAATACCTTCAGCATTTTTATTACCTCCTTTGTGAACTTGGGGCTTACAGACTGAAGAGGTCTGTTTAATTTTTTGTTGTTTCAGGAGATTTATCTTGTTCTTTTAATTGGAAATATTCTTCTGCTTTCTCATTTTATTTATATTTCTCTATGAATTTAGGAGCAACAGTTATCTACCGTTGAAGGGCTGCTTTTATGCGGCAACATCCCTGAATAGGCTGTGTGTGTGAGTCCAAAATTTTTGGTGCAAGGGCTCTTTTGGTATGGACGCTTGCCACATCTTTCGTCAGGGTGTGCTGGCCACTGTCCTCTTTATTTATTTTTTTGTGGTACGCGGGCCTCTCACTGTTGTGGCCTCTCCCGTTGCAGAGCACAGGCTCTGGACGCTGGACGCACAGGCTCAGCGGCCATGGCTCATGGGCCCAGCCGCTCTGCGGCATGTGGGATCCTCCCGGACCAGGGCACAAACCCGTGTCCCCTGCGTCGGCAGGCAGACTCTCAACCACTGCACCACCAGGGAAGCCCCCATTGTCCTCTTGATAGGTGGTATGTTTGTTGTTGTGGTGACCAGAGCCTGCAGTGGATGTTTGGCAGGGCCTCTTCTTTGCTCGGTGGTTGTAACAGCCCTGTAGTTGGAGTACTGGTTGGGGTAGAAGCCCCCAGGTCCAATTCTAAGCTGTGACGTGAGGTAGGCAGGATTTGATCACCCTGCTGGGAAAGGAGCTATGATGTGTTCCTCCCCAGTAGCCCTCCACTGGGACGTGTGACTCTGTGACACCACCTGCTACCCGGTGTGTGTGCGCCAACAGAGTCCACGGTTGCTGGTGCTGCCCCCAGACCCACCTCCACTGCAGGAGCACTGGTAATAGGCTCAGATTCAGCCCAGCTCCACGTATGTGAGCCCACAAAGTCCACTGCTGCTGGTGCCATTCCCCAACTCAGTCCTGCTGCCAGAGTGCCAATAATCGGGTCAAACGCCCCTCCAGTGACACGTGTGTGCTCCCCAAACCTGCCACCCATGCGCACTCCCAAAGCCTGCGACGGCCAGAGCTGTGCCCCCCTGAGCACCCTGACAATGAGGCTGCTATAGCAGACCCACGCCCCTCTCTTTGTGCATTGATAGTGGGCTCCTATTGCAGACCTGCACTCTGTCCTGCACACAGCCCCAGCTGTGGCCCAGACCATGCTCCAGGACCTTTGGGCCGTCTCTGCACAGCAAAACCGAATTCTCTCCCCGAGTATGTCGCCGAGGCCTGAGTTTCAGCACCCAGTTGCTGTGCACACCAGGAGGCACACATCTTGGGCTGGGAAGTGCAGCAGCATGGCAAGGACTGGCTGTGCTACTCTCTGCCTACCCTACTGGCCACAAGCCAGCTCCTACACTCTCCTCTCTGGCGTCGAAAGCTCCCCTCCCTGTCCTGGCGGACCTCTCAGCCAGTCGAGGAGTTCCCCAGGGTGTGGGAACCTTTCTTCCTTCCCAGCTCCCTCCCAGGGGTGCAGGTCCCATCCCGACTCCTTTCTTCCCCCTTTTGTCCTAACCGGTTAAGTGGGGATCTTTCTTGCAGTTTTTGTTGTATGAGATCTTCTGCCAGCTTTCAGTAAAGTGTTCTGTGAGACTTGTTCCACGTGGAGATGTATTTTTGGTGTATCTGTGGGAGAAGAGGAGCTCCACATCCTTCTACTCCACCATCTTGGTCTCCTCTCAGCATAGTTCAGTAGACTGCCCTTCCCCCACTGAGTGGTACTGACACCCTGTGGAACATCATTTGACCGTATACACAAGTTTATTTCTGACATCTTTATTCTGTTCCACGGGTCTGTCTTCATGCCAGTACTGTGCCACTTTGATTAGTTTAGCTTTGTGATAATTTTGAAATAATTGTGTGACCTCCAACTTTGTTATTTTCAAACTTGTTTTTGCTCTGAGGGTCTTCAGATTGCATATGAATCTTAGGATGGATTTATGTATTTCTTCAAGAAATGCTGTTGGGATTTTGCTAAGAATTGTGTTGAATCTATTGATCACTTTGGGTAGTATTGCCATCTTGACAGTACTGCCTACCAACCCATGAACTCGGGATATATTTGCAGTTACTGGTGTCTTTTCTAATATTTTTCAGCAGTGCTTTTAGGTTATAGTGTAAAAATGTTTTCCTCCTTGGATAAGGAGTTATACCTACATATTTTATTTTGCTAATTTTTCTGAATTCATTCATTAGTTCCAGCAGGATTTTTTTTTTGTGGAATCTTCAGTTTTTTCTACACATTAGATCATGTAGGTTGTAAACAGAAAAAATTCTTCTTCCCTTTTCTATTCGGATACCTTCTATCTATATTTCTGCCTATGTGTCCTTGCTAGGATTTTCAGTAATGTTTTTAGAAATAGTGAAAGTAGGTATCCTTCTCTTGTGCCTGATCTTAGAGGAAAAGCTTTAAGTCATTCCCCATCAAGTGTGATGGTAGCTGTGGGCTGTTAATATATGGCCTTTATTATGTTGAGGTAGTTTTTTGGTTTTTGTTTTTTTTTTTGTGGTACACGGGCCTCTCACTGTTGTGGCCTCTCCCGTTGTGGAGCACAGGCTCCAGACGCGCAGGCTCAGTGGCCATGGCTCACGGGCCCAGCCGCTCCATGGCATGTGGAATCCTCCTGGACCAGGGCATGAACCCATGTCCCCTGCATCGGCAGGCGGACTCTCAACCACTGTGCCACCAGAGAAGCCTGAGGTAGTATTTTTTTTATTTCTAGTTTACCGAGTGTTTTTACCATGAAATGCTTGTCAAATGCTTTTCAGTAGAAATGATCATGTAGTTTTTTTCCCGTCATTCTGTTAATGTGCTGTTTTACATCAAAAGATTTTCATATGTTGAACCATCCTTAAATTTCAAAAATATATCCCTATTAGTCACAGTATATAATCTTTTTAATGTGCTGTTGGTTTCAGTTTACTATTATTTTATTGATGATTTTTGCATCATTATTCATTAGAGATTGTAGCCTCTGGTTTTCTTGTAGTGTCTTTGTCTGGCTTTGTTATTGGCATAACTCTGGCCTCATAGAGGGAGTTTAGAACTGTTCCCTCTCCTTCAGTTGTTTTGAAGAGTGAAAGCAAGATTGCTCTTAATTGTTTTTAAATGTTGAGAAGAATTCTGCAGTGAAGCTATCTGGCTTTTCTTTGTTGTATGGTTTTCGATTAGTGATTTCAATCTCCTTAATAGGAATAGGTCTGTTCACATTTTTTTATTTATTCATGGGTCAGTCTTGAGAGGTTATATTTTCTAGGAGAGTATCCATTTCTTCTGGGTTATCCAACATTTAGGTATAGAATAGTTCTTAGTATTCTCTTAGATTTTTTTGATTTCTGTAGAATCATTTGTAAACGGTTGTGATGTCCCCTCTTTCATTCCTGATTTCAGTAGTTTGAGTGTTCTCTTTGTGAGTAAATCTAGGTGTTTGTCAGTGTTTTCATCCTTTTCAAACAACCATATTGTAGGGTTGTAGTTTTCTGTACTTTTTATTCTGTTTCATTTATCTCTAATCTACTTTGTTCTACTTCTGTTAGCTTTTGTCTCTTTTGTTCTTCTATATATGTATATTCCACATATAAGTGAGATCAGTATTACTTTTTATGTCTGACTTATTTTACTGAGCATATAGTCTCAACGTCCATACATGTTGGTACAAATAACAGAATTTCCTTCTCTTCTATGGCTGAATAATATTGCATTGTGTATGTCTACTAGATTTTTTTTTATCCATTCATCTCTTGGACACTTTAGGTTGTTTCTATGAGTTGGCTGTAGTGAATACTGGTATAATGAATATGGGAGTGCAGGTATCTTTTTAAGACAGTGATTTTATCTTGTCCGATATATACCCAGCAGTGGAACTTCTGCATTATTTGATAGGTTTTTTTTTCTTTAATATTTTGAGGTAATTATATACTGTTTTCTGTAGTGGCTGCAACAGTTTTCATTCTTTCCAGCAGTGCACTAGTGATCCTTTTTCTTTCCCACATTCTGCTCAATACTTGTTATCTCTTGGCTTTTTGATGATAACCCTTCTAAGGGGTGTGAGGTGATATCTCATTGTAGTTTTTTTTTTCTTTAATAAATTTATTTTTTTTATTTATTTATTTGGCTGCATTGGGTCCTTGTTGCTGCACGCAGGCTTTCTCTAGTTGTGGCGAGCAGGGGCCACTCCTCTTTGTGGTGCGCAGGCTTCTCATTGCGGTGGCTTCTCCCGTTGCAGAGAACGGGCTTTAAGGCATGTGGGCTTCAGTAGTTGTGGCACATGGGCTAAAGGTCCTGGGAAGGTACTGGGGAAAAGTGCTTATTGCTCAAGGAAGGCATAGTTTGTAATACTCTGTTGGATGTTAGTAGGTTAAGTGAAGAACAACAAAACACAATATTGGCTATCCATTCTTAGGGGAAAGACAGAGTCCAGAAAAGATCATTTCCCATCCCTGGCCGTATGGAATAGGGACCTGAGAACATGTGCTCAGCAAAACTGCACATTTGCTGTGGACCAAAGACCACTGGGTACCTCCTTTTTCTTCAATAAATGGTAGGATTTATTTAAGTTTTATTTCTCTGTTTTAGCCTAATGTGTTATGAGTGATGAGGCCTCCATATAGGACTCTGACTCAAGAGGAATCTCATGAAACTTATGAAATCCTCATGTGTGACTGGAGTCATGTTTTGGTAGAACTTCTTCTCCTTTCCTTTTCTTCTATCCTTAACATACAAGGTTGGATGTATTTTGTGTGAACAAAGAAGGGACAAATTATTTCTGATAGAAGCTGCACTAACATATATTATTTCCAACTAATTATCACCCTGCTGCGCAGTTATACGTGACATTTGCTTGGTTTCTCAAAGATGTATATACTCTGATATAAGGTAAGACGTGAGCCCTAGTTACAGGCTCTTCCATGTAAGTTTTGTATGGTTTCTCTCTACGATGGAGTCTCTCTTTATTGAAATATAATTGATATACAACAGTGTTAGTATTGGCTGTACTATATGAGGTAACATGTGCATACTTTATGAAATCATCACAATGATATGTGTAGCCATCTTTCCTCAGCTACTACCATGCTCCTTTTAAACATATTCCTTATGTTGGATATTACATCCCCATGACTTACCTATTACATAGAGGTTTGTGCCTCTTAATCTCCTTCACCTATTTTACCTGCCACTGCACTGCCCTTCCTCCTGGCAACAACCACACATTTGTTCTTTATCTGTGAATCTGTTTTCCTTGTCTTGTGCTTTTGCTTCTTCGATTCCACATATAAGTAAGATCGTGCACTATTTGTCTTTCTATGCCTGACTTCTGTCACTTAGCATAAAATCCTCTAGATCTATCCATGTTGTTGCAAATGGCTGGACTCCTTTTCTTAAGGGTGACTTATATTCTGTGCGGAATGGACATACAACATCTCCTCTAAGCATTCATCTACTGATGGACACTTAGGCTGCTTCTCTGTCTTGGCTACTGGAAATAATGCTACAATGAATATTCAAATGCCTATATTTTCTCAAATTACTGTTTTTCTTTTCTGCCAGTAAATACTTCAAAGTGCAATACCTGGTTCATCTGATGGTTTTAATTTTTGAGGAACTTCAGTAATGTTTTCCATAAATGTTGCACCAACTTACAATCCCAGCAATAGTGGACAGGGTTCCCTTTTCTCCACACCATTGCCAATGCTTGTTGTCTTTCTGATGACAGCCATTGTAAACAGATGTGAGGTGGTACCTCACTGAGCTTTTTTAAATATAATTTTAAAATTTTTATTTATTTAGCTGCATTGGGTCTTTGCTGCTGCACACAGGTTTTCTCTAGCTGCTGAGAGCAGGGGCTACTCTTTGTGGCGGCACGTGGGCTTCTCATTGCGGTGGCTTCTCTTGTTGCAGAGCACGGGCTCTAGGCGCCCGGACTTCAGTAGTTGTGGCTCGTAGACTCAGTAGTTGTGGTTCGTGAGCTCTAGAGTGCAGGCTCAGTAGTTGTGGCACACAGGCTTAGTTGCTCCATGGCATGTGGGATCTTCCTGGACCAGGGCTCGAACCCGTGTCCCCTGCATTGGCAGGTGGATTCTTAACCACTGCGCCACCAGGGAAGCCCCCTCATTGAGCTTTTGATTTACCCTTCCCTGATGATCTGTGACGGTGAGCATCTTTTCATGTGTCTGCTGGCCATCTGTATGTCTTCTTTCTCCTTGATAGACTCCCATATGTTAAGTAAGGCTTGAATACATGCACAAATTTTGTCTGAATCGCTTTAAAGTTTCTTTCTTATTATAAAATCTCTGGTGACCCCTAAACCTTGAGCTTTGGACCAAAGCATTGCCACTTATGTGAGGCTTATGTTGTTTTCAGTATGTATTTTGAGATGCCTGGTGAGGCTTGCAAATTGAGTATGAGATTTGCAACACATATTACATTTGTAAGGTTTTTCTCCAGTGTGGATTGTTTTATGTTGAGTAAGATATGAATGCCTTGTAAGGGCTTTGCCACACTCATCACATTTGTAAAGTTTCTCTCCAGTGTGAGTTCTCTCATGACCCCAAAGTTGTGACTGTTCAATAAAAGCCTTATCACATTTATTACATTTAAAAGGTTTTTCTCCTTTATGAATTCTCTGGTGTGCCATAAGGTTTGAACGCTGTGTAAAATGCTTGCCACACTCATTACATCTGTGTGGCTCCTCTCTAGTATGGACTGTCTCATGTTGAGTAAGATATGAGCGCACTGTAAACGCTTTGCCATACTTAAGACATCTGTACGATTTCTATCTGGTATGGATTCTCTTATGCCTGTTAAAGCCTGAATGCTCAGCACAGGCTTTGCCACACTCAGGACATTTGTAAGGTTTCTCTCCTGTATGCACTCTCTGATGTGTAGTGAGATTAGAACACTGGTTAAAGGCTTTGCCACACTCACTACATCTGTAAGGTTTCTGTCCAGAATGAATTCTCCTGTGATTCCTGAGGTTTGAGCTTTTGCTAAAAGCCTTCCCACAGTCATTACAGCTGTAAGATTTTTCTCGAGTGTGTGTTCTCCTGTACTGCGCAGGTGACAACGTGTTTTCCACACTAGGAGGAACTCTCGCTGACGTTATTTTTCGTTGTTAACAAACTTCTTATGGATGGCTTGTCGTGTGTGAAATATTCACGTGCATTACTTCGTACAGAAACACTCTGAGGAAAATTAATTAAGGACTTATTATCTTGATCTTCTCTCTGAGATTTTTGTTATGAGTCAAAAGCACTTCTTCGTCATTTCTTGCATCGTAGCCCCACTCACTCTCACACTCCTGCACATCTGCACAGACTTCCTCGAGGTCAAAATCCTTGATGCCATGGTTTTGATTTCTTTCCAGTACCACTACATGGCATAATTCTCCTTTATCAGTGTCTTTCTCTTGGTGTTAATTCCTTGATTGCAAGTCTAGCAGAATGGCTTCCTATTAAATGGAGTTGGAAAATAAATATTTTATACTGACTTAGATAATTACGTAAAAAATCATATGCAATGAACAGTTTTCTCAAACATGGTATTCAGACATCACTGTTATATACAGTTTAATTTTCTTTTTCTATATTTTCCCATATTACTGTTTTCTCTGATCTTAGATAATAGAGTTTCAAACATACACTACATACTACATATATATTTTGCAATGTATCTGGATAATTAAATGATAGTCCACAGTTAGAATGTCTACCTATGTACTGGCTTATAAAAATCCAGGCATGAAATCATCATTGAGATTTGAGACTGTCTTCCCTAATCCTTAACCTTTATAATAATGTTAATCACATGTGAGTATGATGTAAGAAAAAATATTTTTTAAAATCTGTATATCACAATAATAAGTGATAAAGCATTTATATAACCCATGATAAATCAAGCAGGTAAGGTAATAAATAACCACATTTGCACAAAATAATAAGTCTCTGGAATTCTAAAAGATTCTCCGGTAGGTACCAACAACAACAAAAAAATTTCATTTCAGGAGGAACACACAATAGGAAAAATACCTTGATAAGCACTGAATTTTGAAATATCAGATTCAGGTAAATGTATGTATAAAGTTTAAGAATTAGGGAAAACGGTCTGAAATTTTCAATCATTGTCATGCCTGTGATTCTACACAGTTCAACTACCTAACTGTGGAGTGTCATTTAATTGTACACTTGTATGGCAAAAATATATATATATATGGTATAATGTATGCTTTAAAATTGTTATCTTAAGGTCAGAGAGGACATCTGTATGGAAAATAATTAGAAAAAGACAACAGCCAAAGTATAGTGTAGGCCAAGGTCAATTTCATAATAACCATGACCAAAAAATGACACATCTAGTTAACTAAAGGTAACTTTACAGTCCTCGCTATCTGCCATGCAATATTTCAAGCCCCTGTAACAGAATTAATTATTCTTGAGGTAAATTATCACAGTATTTCATATAAAAACACACATCTAACTCACACAGAAAGCAAATTCAAGAGACAGTTTGAACCTGGGTGTGCAGAGTAACAGGACATGTCCATATGTGTTAAGCAGCACCACCCATCCAGGCAGTACAGACTTTAAGAAAATTTAAAGGAAGTGTATCTTAGAAATGTTTCAAGGAAGATACGGGCAGTGAGTTGTGTCACTTACACTGTCCCGTCACTGTCCTACCATTCCCAGATAATGACAGGAGTCACGTCCGGCACGTGTTGATGTACACAGTGACCAGACCGAGTCGCTGATCTGAGCAAACTGTACTGTGTCCAAGTAGGGGTCCTTGCTTAGGCAGTGTGTGGGGTATGCGGAGGGGTGGGGTCTTATGGGAACTGGGGAGCCCAAGTGCTAAATATGGACACAGTACTAAGAAGTACCAATAGAGTTCACTTAGATCCACAAAAATCCGAGGGAAGGCCAGGACTGGGATTTAACAAAGCAAGAGTGAAGTAGTGGGCAATGTGGGAGCACTGCTTGTGCTTGCAAATCTATGGGAAGAGGACTGTACTGCAGCAGATGAAAGCCTCACCTTGGGAAAAGAAGAACCGCTGCAGCAAGAAGCATAAACATGACTCATTCTATGCAAACTCTATTGTTGGTATGAAGGAAATGTGGAAGATATTAGGAAGACACAGAGTGCTGTTATGGGAAGACTGTAGGTTTACATCTATTCCAATATTTGCTCTAAACATGATCAAGCTGAGTATCCCACAAATTCCATTCCTAGGCATATATTATTTGTTCCGGAAGATGTGTACAAGAATGTTCTTTGTGGGACCTAAAAGCAAAACCTGGAGAATGAATGAATTCACTCTGTGTGAACACATGTGGATGCAATAAACCCCTCTCAAGGGTACAGCAATGGAGGATGATCATGGTTGCTGGATGATGATCTCTTGGCAGGGGCGACAGAGGTTGACTGGTGGAAACAAAGCTAGCATGAGGGTTTTGCCAAGGTTTAACCTCTGTGGATGTGATTATATTTGGTAAGAATAACTTTTAAACTACTTATACATTTTTAAATCAGAATACCAATTTTAGCATGAAGTTTTTTAGTGCAAACAGCTTTGTCATATAAAGGTAACAGATCTCTTTTGCAGGAATTTTTTAAAGTATTTGAAATCATATCTTTGGGTCTTTTAACATTCCAATCCCAAACATAAAACAGACATCAGATGAGAAGCGCTCTTACTGTATGTATATCACTAAAGATATACTTACTCTTATCAATAGAAATTAATATGCACTTAACAAAAAGTAATGAATTTTGGCTTCTGGAACAGCAACAGAAAATAGTAACCTTAAGGGCTTAAGGGGCATTACTAAACAACCTAGAGGGGAAAGAACGACTTGTATGGACAAGTGTTGTTCACAGCAGGGTTTAGAAACCGTTCTGGCATTGCCCAGCTGATCCATGGCAGAGTTCTATGTGCAGAGATGTGGTCAACAACATAAGCAGCCAATTAACAGCCTGAAGAACAGGACGATAATAGGATGTATATCAACAAGGACCAGGTGACTTTTGATGAAATTTAGTTGAAAGAGAGGACAGGGAACAAAAGAGGCTTCATTGAAATATGTAGTTCAAGGAACGTAAGAAAATTTCTGAGAAACATTGTTAGAAGCAGTAATAATGAGGGAAACCATGGAGTATAAAAAACTTTCCTTAAATAAAATGAGCTATTTAAATATCAGCATACCAAGATGTGCATGAAGAATCTACACAGGGAGAATAATTATTAGAATAAATTAATGTTGGGGAAGCTAGTAAAGTAGTCTTGTTCAGGTTTCAGAGGCAGCACTAGGCCTCTCTGACTGGGCAATGACCCTAAAAGCTGGCTACATGCCAAACTGCTGAGCTCCCTGCAGGCAGCACACCTTGTAAATCATTAGATAAGATAGGGCGTAAGTCTGGGGCCTTCTTGCACCCTGAGGGCCTGGCCAGCCCCCAGGGATCAGAGAACACTCCAAGACTTATGACTTAAAACCAAGGCATTTATGACAATAACCAGAGCTGCAAATTTGCACGCAGGCTGACTATCGTCAGCCTGTGGCCTGATGCTAAAAGCAGGAATCCTTCCAGTAGCAAACAAGTCTCACCCATGGGGTGGATGTACCGTCCGGGCCTTCCCAGCTGGGATTCCAGATTGCTGCCGAAGGGACTTCCCAGTGCTGCTTGGATCTGGATGTAGGTGCTTCCCCAATTCCATGATGTAATAAACCTGTCTCTACTATACTTTCTTCTACTATTCTTAATTAGTATACTGTGATCTTTTAATTCAATGAACTCTCTGAATTCTTGTTTAACTGAGTGTAAGAGTGGTTATTTTGCCAGCAACTCCTACGAACCTAAAATGAAAGTAAAACTTCCAGCAAAACAATTATTTGCAGCAAAAAAAATTGAAATTAAAATAGAAATCAAAACTTCCTTATAGAAAACTACAGCAAATCAATTGAATGGTAACCTGTGACTAAAACTTAATAAGAAAAATTTAATTGAGGAAAATGTGTGTTAAAACAAATGTGATACCACTAAACACCTATGATAGTGGCCAAAGTACAGAACACTGAAAATATTAAAAATTAGAAATGATGCAGAGCAGCAGAAACTTTCATTCATTGCTGATGGGAATGCTAAATGGTACAGCTAGTTTGGAAGAGTTTGCAGTTTCTTACAGTCTTAAATATGATCTAGCAATCGCACTACCTGGAAGTTACACAAATGAGCCAAAAACTTTTCTGCGTGCAAAAACATGCACATGAAGTAGAACAAATAATCCTAAAATTTGTATGGAACCAGAAAGACACCGAATAGCCAAAGCAATCTTCAGAAAGAATAAAAAAGGTGAAGGCATCACATTCCCTGATTTCAAGCGATGTTACAAAGAATGGAAACTAAAATGCTACTGGCTTTAAAGCAGACGTAAGTCAATGGAAGAGACTAGAAAGCCCAGAAGTAAACCCACACATATGCAATCAATAAATTTACAACAGAGGAGCCAAAAATATACAAGGGGGAAAGGACAGTGTCATCAATAATTAGTATTGAGAAAACTGAAAGGCACATACAAAAGAATGAAACTGGACCACTATCTTATACCATATGCATAAATTAACTCAAAACAGAGTAAAGACTTGAATGTAATACCTGAAAAAAAAAACTCCTAGAAGAAAGCATAGTAAGCTCCTTGATATCTTGTCAGTGATTTTTTGAATCTGAAATGAAAAGTAAAAGCAAAAGAAACAAAAATAAACAAGTAGGTCTACATCAATCTAAGAAGTTTGTGGACAGCAATGGAATCTATCAACAAAATGCAAAGGCAACGTATGGGTTGGGAGAAAATATTTACAAATCATATTTAAGGGGCTTAACATCTAAATTACATAAAGATCTCACAGCTCAACAGCAAAAACAACAAAAATTCTGATTAAAAAAAAAATGGGCAGAAGATCCGAATAGATTTTCTTCCAAAGAAATCATACAGATGGTCAACAGATACATGAAAAGATGTTCAACATCATCAGGAGAATGAACATTAAAACCACAGTGAGATCTCACCTCACAATTCTTAGAATGGCTTTAACATAAACAAATGTACGACAAGCAAGTGTTGGCAAGGATGTGGAGAAAAGGGAATCCTTGTGTTCTCTTAGTGCCAACACTACGAAAAACAGTACAGATGTTCTTCAAATAAATAGAACTAACATAATATCCAGCAATTCCATTTCTGGGTATTTATATGATGAAAATGAAAACACTATCTCAAAAAGATATATGTATCCCCCTGTTCACTGCAGTATTTACAATAGTAAACAACCTAAGTGTCCATCAATGAATATAAATGAAGAAACTGTGACATGTCTAAATATATATAGTGTAAAAAACATGCCATGTGTGACAACATGAAGGGCATTATGCTACCTGAAGTGAGTGACAGAAAGACAAATACCTTATGACTGAATGATGAATGGGGGATTTTTTTTGGGGGGGGGGGGTTCTTTTTTTACAGAAAAGCTAATTAGACATATCAGTAAGCCATGCTGTATTTAAAGTAAACTACATCTAATTTTTGAATTTTCAGTTTTTGTCATTATCCACATCATGACTTCTTCCTACTAAATGAATCCTGGTAACAAGCCAGGATGGACCAAAAAATAACAAGTAGACTTAGCTCCACTTTATTAGTCAGATATTATTAGGAAAAGGATCAACAATACACTTACCATCTTCCCAAAGGATTAAGTTAATGGAAGGTGGTTTTCCTGTCAAATGAGGTAACACTGTCTTCTAGACCAAGGTTTTTGGGAGTGAAACTTTATCTGCTCAAGACATGTCTTATACATTGACAATTAATTTTGTAAACAGGAAATGTTAAAAACAAGATGAATGTAGTCAGAAAACAGTAGCCATGGGTGGAGGGGGCGTGGTCTAAGGAGAGCAGCATGGGTGTTGTGATCCACATGATTATTTGTGCAAACACAGTTCTCAGAGGCTGCAGGTAGAAACAAAAGCACCCCCAAGTGGGCCTAAGTACCTTTAATCCCAGAAAGTTAAGACTGAGGAATACTTATAATTAACCTAAAGGCCTCCCAGTCACGAAAATCCATTTTGGGACTGTTACTGTGGATGCTATAAGAACCTAGTTTAAAAACAAAATCTCAATTATCTCCTGCACCCTTTAAGCTTCTACCCTCTAAAAGTGAAAAGGAAACCTACAAAACAATAAAAAACACTCACCAATCATAAATATCTGACAAGGCACTTGCATTTAGAAGATATAAAGAACTTATTTATACTCAACAAAAAAAGACAACCCAATTTTAGGATGGGCAAAGGACCTGAACAGACATTCTCCAAAGAACAAAGAAAAACAGCCAATATGCACATACAGAGAAGATGTTTAACATAATTTTTCAATAGAAAAATGCAAGTCAAACCCAGGATGAGGTACAACTCCACACCCCCTACAATGGCTGTAGTCAAAGAGACAGATAACAAGTGTTAGTGAGGCTATAGAGAAACTGGAACCCTCATACACTCACTCCTGGTGGAAATGTCAAATGGTGCAGCAGCACTTTTGGAAGACACTGGCAGTTCCTCAAAAGATTAAACAGAAAATTACCACATGACCAAACAACTGCACTTTTAGCTTTATGCAAAAGGAAATGTAAATATACGTCCACAAAAAACGTTCAAAAATGTTTCTAGCAGTATTGTTCACAATAGCCAAAAGGTGGAAACAACCCAAATGTCCAACAACTCACAAATGGATAAACAAAATGTTGTATTCATTCATGGACTATTATGAGGCAACAAAAGGAATGAGGAACTATTACATGCCACAAAAACAAAAAACAAACATGCAGAAATAAATTCCCTGCATATAAGTATTTATAGCAGCATTATCCATATCATCTAAACTTGGAAGGAGCCAAAATGTCCTTCAGTTGGTGAATGGAGTAATAAACTGTGGTACATCCAGGCAAGGGAAATATTATTCACCACTAAAAAGAAATGAGCTATCAAACTATGAAAAGTCATGGAGAAAATTAAATGGATATAACTAAGTCAAAGAAGACAATCTGAAAACACTATATAAACTGTTTGATTCCAACTAGATGACATGCTGCAGAAGGCAGATGTATGAAGCCAGTAACAAGATCTGTCATTGCAGCAGTTAGGAGGGAGGGAGAGATGAATAGGTAGAGCACAGAGGATTTTTAAATAATGAAATTACTTTTTATGGTACTATTACGGTACACACATGTCAGTATACCTTTGCCCAAACCTACAAAATATATAACACCTAGAGTGAACTCTAACATAAATGTGGACTTTGAGGGGGTAATTCATGTCAATGTAGGTTCCTCAGTGATAACAAACATACTCTTCTGTCGGGTGTTGATTATGAGGGAGGGTCTGCATATCTGGGGTGGAAAATACTGGGAAATCTCTATAACTTCCACCTAATTCTTCCATGAACCTAAAACTCCTTTAAAAAAGATAGCCCATTAAAACAAAGGTGTATGGGTTCATAATAGGTACTAATATGAAACAGTAAAAGGAATAGACTATCTTTTCAAAAACTTCTAGAGGTTGCACAGCTTTCAGGGAAACAAATGTTAAGTCGGGGACTTCCCCGGCAGTCCAGTGGCTAAGACTTCGCCTTCCAATGCAGGCGGTGTGGGTTCGATCCCTGGTTGGGGAGCTCAGATCCCACATGCCTCGTGGCCAAAAAACCAAAACATGAAACAGAAGCAATACTGTAACAAATTCAATAAAAGACTTTAAAAATGGTCCACATCAAAAAAAAAAAAAGGCAAACACTCAAAACAGAAATCCTATAAAATATTAAAGAAATATTCATTCCAAACCCCAAATTGTAGATATAAAACAAAGAACACTAAGAATATCATCAAAACTACAGAACTGGCCTTCCCTGGTGGCGCAGTGGTTGGGAGTCCGCCTGCCGATGCAGGGGACACTGGTTCTGGGAGGATCCCACATGCTGCAGAGCGGCTGGGCCCGTGAGCCATGGCCACTGAGCCTGCATGTCTGGAGCCTGTGCTCCGCAACAGGAGAGGCCACAGCAGTGAGAGGCCCGCGTACTGCAAAAAAAAAAAAAAAAAAATACAGAACTGATGACTGAATAAAGAAAAATGAAGGCCAGTTATAACAATGAAATTTGCAAGGTGAAAGTTATCAGTGGTCTAAAAGCAAAACAAGTAACAGGAGAGTTTAAATGTCAGCATCTACCCCATCTAGAAACTAAAAATACTACAAAATAGTTTGTATACCAATAAAGGCAAATGTACAATAAAGGTAGGAAATCATGCACACACAAAGCTAACAGGGCAGGGAGGTAACAAGACAAAAGTAGTAAAATCATCTATATCCACAGTAATTAAGGGATACACAGAACAATTAGATGTAAAATATATCAGAAACAGTAATCATGAGAGGAGGAGAGTACAAATGCAGGGTTTATAAAATGTGTTTGAAATTAAGAGATCAGCAACTTAATCATGTATATATGGACTGCTATATAAAAACCTCATGGCAATTGCAAACCAAAATGCTGTAATAGATATATACACAAGAAAAAGGAGTCCAAACACAACACTAAAGATAGTTAGCAAATCACAAAAGGGAAAAAAAGACCTACAAAAACAAATCCAAAACAGTTAACAAAATGACAGTTAGAACATTCATATTGATAATTACCTCAAACATAAAAGTACTAAATACTCCAACTGAAAGACATAAACTGGCTGAATGGATATAAAAACAAGACGTGTATATATGCTACCTACAAGCAACTCAATTTACAACTAAAAACACAGAGACTGAAAGTGAGGGGATGGAAAAAGGTATTCCATACAAATGGAAATCAAAAGAAAGCCACAGCAGCAAATAAAATATACTTTAAAATTAAGACTGCTGGGACGTCCCTGGTGGTGCAGTGGTTAGGAATCCGCCTGTCGATGCAGCGGATATGGGTTCAAGCCCTGGTCTTCGAGGGTCCCACATGCTGCGGAGCAACTAAGTCCATGTGCTGCAGCTGCCGAGCCTGCACTCTAGAGCCCATAAGCCACTACTACTGAACCCACATACCACGACTACTGAAGCGCACATGCCTGGAGCCCATGCTCCACAACAGGGGAGGCCGCCCATGAGAGGCCCGCACACTGCAGGAAGGGGTAGCCCCTGCTCACCACAGCTGGAGAAAGCCCACGTGCAGCAATGAAGACCCAACGCAGCCAAAAATAATTTTTTTAAAAAAATTAAGACTCCAGTCCGGGAGGATCCCACATGCTGCGGAGCGGCTGGGCCTGTGAGCCATGGCCGCTGAGGCTGTGCATCTGGAGCCTGTGCTCCGCGACGGGAGAGGCCACAACAGTGAGAGGCCCGCGTACCCCACCCACCCCCCCCCCCAAAAAAATTAAGACTGTTATAAGAGATAAAGGACACTACATATTGATCAAGGGATCATTCTAGAAGATATAACAATTGTAAATATACGTGCACCCAACATAGGACCACCTAAATATATAAGGCAAATATTAACAGACATAAGTAGGACTCAGCTGTAACAAAGTAACAGTAGAGAACTTTAACACCCCACTTACCTCAATGGACAGATCATCCAGACATCAATAAGGAAACACAAGCCTTAATAACACATTAGACTAAACTGACTTGATATAAATATAGA